CCGCTCGCTCCTATTAAATACTTCCCCGGTCCCGCGCATGCGTGCTAGGCGGCTCGGGCTCCACCCCTTAATTCAAACTCCGCTTCTAAACCCACAAATCCCCCTATTCTTATCTTATTTATTCCTATTCCTATTCCTAATCAACCTAAAATTAGGGCTAATAACCCCAATGTTCAAAGGAGGTACGAGAGACACAACTCCCAAATTACAGGCCGGCTAGATTAACATCACACGCAATCAAAGTATTAGAGAAGGTTGTTGACAGAAGGTTGGTGCAGTACATGGAGGAAGCTGACTTTTTCAACAGAAGGTAAGACGGTTTTAGACGAAATCGCCCCTGTTTGTCTCAGTTATTTGAGCATTATCACCAAATCCTGGTCATGCTGGAGGAAGGGGCCGGGGTGGACGTGGTGTATTTGGATTTCGCGAAAGCGTTTGACAAAGTTGATCATGGAGTGTTCTTCAGAAAATTAGGACTACTGGGGGTCGGAGGTGGAGTGCTTGCATGGATCCACAGCTTCCTAACAGAAAGACTACCAGCTGTCATTGTTAGAAGCTCGAGATCAAGCGAGGCTCGGGTGAAGAGTGGAGTATCACAGGGAACGATACTCGGCCCAATCCTCTTCCTCATTCTCATCGCCGACATAGATGTGACAGTGAACCACGCCACAGCCACAGCATCGTCATTTGCAGACGACACCAGGATACTAATGACCATCACGGACAGGGCGGACTGTGAGTGATTGCAAGAATTTCTCTTTGCAATATATGACTAGGCCCAAGTGAACAACATACAGTTCAAAGGGATCAAGTTTGAGGTTCTGATATACAGAGGTACCAGAAGAACTAGAATGGAGCACCGCTACCTGGCACCTGACAACTCGGAAATCGAAGAGATGCGACTTGTTCGCGATCTAGGAGTGTTGATGAACACTCAGGTCAAGTTTGGTGATCACATAGTGGCAATAACCCCTAGAGGTAGGCGATATATGGGGCGGATCTGGCGGTCGTTCAGAACAAGAAGCGGAACCGATGACCACACTCTTCAGATACCTTGTCTGGGTCTGCACTCACGGCAAATGAGTCGGGAGAGTTATGTAATTCTGTACACATGGAAAATGATAACCGGAATGGCACCAAAGTTCGGAAACGAGACCTTCAGGATTGAGATCATAAAGAGAGAACGGTGTGTCTACGCAGGACCCCCCCCCCCCCACTTCGTAACAGATCTGCGGTCAGATTTCGAGCCCTGCGCGAATGATCCCTTTCCGTGGCAGGGCCGAGACTGTTTAACGTACTACCAAATGATCTAAGCGAGGGTGAGTTCACTCTGGAGACCTTCAAGAAACGACTGGGTACAATGTTCCTGGATACAATTTCTGATCGACCGCCCCTGCACCACTCCAGACGGCGAGAAGCAAGTAACAGCATCGTGCATCAGCTGGCCCAAATGAGGGCGGATGCGCGATAGTCGGAGGCTGCGATCCATCGTGGCCTGGGACTGCTACGTCCGAAACAAATGCTAAGGATACTAAGGATATCATATATAAACTATCCAAAAATTCTCGGAAATCAGGACTTTGCTTATCAAATTTATCTATGCTGACTGGTGATACAGTCAGCGTAATGTCGTCATAGTGGTCTTCAACGTGCCCAATAATAGATAGACTACAATAATATTTTCTTTGATAAATGAATGGGCAATTGTTAATGTGGTTAATTGTAATTTTGGCCCAACGTTGTTTATTCGGCACTATAAGCGTACTATTCATACACGTTACATTTAGATGTGTACACGTGTCCCTAAGCATAAAAAATGTTACTCACATTTGTATAAGAAATATCATGTACACAATTCTGTTGTTAATCATACATAATATTAGAGATACTAGCGATCTCAAATACTAGAGAGAAAATGTACACTACAGTAATAGCACCAAAACCGTTTTTACCTGCAGGAACAACTTGAATAACGTCACCGAGGAGCTGAAGGAACCTGCCATGTGAGTTAATTAAGCTTGCATAAATGGTGCCGGTGCACACATAATAATTATCTCATTATTTGAAATTATATAACTAAATGAATTATATATCGATTAGTATGTTTGGAGGAGGAATAGTCTTTTTTGCCTTTTGACGTTAAATAATGGTCTGTAAAGGTGGTCAGTTCCTATATACGATTACTGACTGGAAATGATTTCCTTGCATTATTGCTATAGAAGAGAGCACTGGGGGACGGGAGATGAAGCCCTTCATCAAATTACTGCAATCCAAAAAGTGATCCGCCAGTTGTATGCAGGCGTTAATACAGGGTGAACCAGAATTAAGTAACCCTTTTAATTTGTTAATAAATAAAAAACTAAGAACGTTATGAAGTTGAAACTTGTTTTATTTAAAAGAAGAACATTTTTATGGTAATATTGTATCCTAGTTTTTAAATATAATATATTTTAAATCTCCACCACAATTGTTTTGACAAAATAGGGCTCTTCTCTTCGTTGCTTTCATAACCTTCATTAGTAATTTCCCGGTATCTGCAAATTTTCGATAAAGAGATTTAATTGTTTTTTTTTATGGACTGATTCTCGTTTTGAAATGGATCCTGTAATCACGTTGAACTTCTGTTATTGACATCGTCCTGATGTAGGTTTGCAGAATTTTCGTTCTTTATTCTTTGCTGTAGCGAATCATGGTGAAAATTTAAGGCTTGATAATTAAACACAAATTTAGCAAGCTATACAGGATAATGACGTAACTATGATACAATATTACCATAAAAATGTTCTTCTTTTAAATAAAACAAGTTTCAACTTCATAACGTTCTTAGTTTTTTATTTATTACCAACTTAAAAGGGTTACTTAATTCTGGTTCACCCTGTATATAGTTAATATATAGTTAATAGTATAGTTAATATATAGGCACGTAATTAACAGTATCATACATCATATCTTACTCTATAATGTGGGAAATGATGTCCCCAGTAACCTGCCCCGGGCCATCATGATCGCGTTACCCACGGTTACGCTGTGTTACATGCTGGTCAACGTCAGCTACCTCGCCGTCATGAGTCCGGACCAGTTACTCGCCTCGGAAACTGTTGCTGTCGTGAGTATATATAACGTCATGCAGGCTTAGTTTCCTTTCCGGGCTTCATTGAGAATTTATAAAAAAATTTCGAATTTTCGTTACTTCGGCGTGTAAAAAATAATTCGTATTAAGGGAGTAGATAAGTTTTCTTCTTATTCTTTTGGATGGATGTCATATTTGTGGACATGAGAGGTGGTGTAAGACTGTGATGGAAACGTAGACCAGACTGATTTCCGTCTTCCCAAGAATTATAATAGCACTTCAATAAAATTCATTGGTTAGACTTTTACTTTGTAGATGTACACAATAGGTACACATGCGTAGAAAGTTCGTACACAATAGGTACGAAAATACTGTACCCATAAGGTACAATAATACTTAATACAATAATACATTAATTAAGGGTACCCCTTGTATTTCAATACTGTCCCCTGTAGTCGGACGAGATTTTTGCGCTTGCAGGGAATGGAACCGTGAAGTGAAAATAACCATCGTTCGCCAGAATAACGCAGGTCTATGTAAATTCTATCGGTACTACCTCGGCGGCAGAAAGCGGCGGTGGTCGCGTAAGGGTAAAGTCGGGTGAATGAGGGTCGACCTGTGAAGTGAAGTAGAAGGGGCCGTTATATGGGCCGAGATCTCTGTTCTTCAGCCTTTTACCAGCTTAATCTACGAACCCGCAGAGAAGTGAGCTAGGCTTTTTCCAAATGTCATTTCGTTAATATGTAGGTCGTCCGTAATAATTTGGCCGGGCAAAAGTCTAAAAAAACGGACGAAACAAAAATGCCACGTCCGTTCTTTGCTTGTGATATAGGTAAGAAGATTTGTCAGTATTTGGACAACATGACCTATTAAGTTTTCTGAGTGTCATCTGCAACAGGTGTACGGGCACGCACTGCTGGGGACGGCGGGAAAGCTGGTCATGATCCTGGCGGTGGTTTTATCAACTTTTGGCGCCGCCAACGGCTCAGCGTTCACCGCAGCGCGGTGGGTGATACCTCGTCTGGGGGCGTGGGAGTGATGCCACTCACATGGAACTAGAGTGTCACGCCACTCACATGGGACTAGAGTGCCACGCCACTCACATGGGACTAGAGTGTCACGCCACTAACATGGGACTAAAGTGTCACGCCACTCACATGGGACTAGAGTGTCACGCCACTAACATGGGACTAGAGTGTCACGCCACAACATGGGACTAGAGTGTCACGCCACTAACATGGGACTAGAGTGTCACGCCACTCACATGGGACTAGAGTGTCACGCCACTAACATGGGACTAGAGTGTCACGCCACTAACATGGGACTAGAGTGTCACGCCACTAACATGGGACTANTTGGCGCAGTTAAGGGCGGGGAAATGCCCAATGCTTAGAGAATACCTCAATAAGATCGATGAGGCTAATTACCCAACACCATCATGCCCTCTGTGTCAAAACCACACCCACAACACACAACATCTGTTTGGGTGTGCTGAAATTCCAACCAGCCTGCAGCCTGAAGATCTATGGAATAAGCCCGTGGAAGTGTCCCAACTGTTCTGAGTGTGGCAAGACCGGCTCGGCGCTCCGGAGGGGGGTGGGCCTGGGCGGCACTCAGTCGGGTGACGTTGTGGTGATCATCATCATCATCATCATCAGGGGTTTAAGTTATGGCGTACGAAAATCATTTTTCAGTCATTCTCAAAACACTAAAACTTTCACGATTTTCTTCCAGTCCCACGCAAGGAAATACACCTGGGATTAATAACAAAAGTTTAAATCGCAATAAGTCCATCACAACATACAAATCAATTGAATTCCAGCTCACATGCACGATGAAACGGTCGTACATCCAATTTAAATTTACAAATTTCTGGTCTAGCATTTGTCAAAACAATGTATTTTTCGCACCAATAATAACCCTTCAGCATGCGTACTGGTTTTCCTAAATCCAAAGCAACAATCCCGTTTGCATGGATAGTTTTAATGATATAATTCCCAGTGTTTTTGGTCAAAGGTATCCTCCAAAACTTGTAGTTTCTTTTAAAAATCACAGTCCTTTTAAGAAAAGTCCCAGTACATCTTAAAGGGCCCCATACACCATAGAGTCCGACTAGCGAGTCTATCTCGGCTAACTTCAAAGCCCCCAAATATGGCGCCTAACGAGCCGAGGGAGCAAAATAAAGGCGAGCCCAGCCAGGGCTTACGCTGCTTGCTGTGGGGCTCGGCTCGAGTTCAGTTGCAAAGCAGACGCCAAGCTGGTAGGGCGTGTGCAGTCATGGCGGACTCAGCTATTCAAGGGCCCTGACTTCCTTACCAAGTTTATTGAAGACTACCGCATCCCATTTTGGCTATTCGTCTGTTGCGTTTTCAGTACCCAAGCTGTACTATGATTTTTAATTAGAACTTTGATTTGTAGAGGAACTAAGGTTTCCATGAATAACTCTGAGTTTTGAAAGGAAATATGAATTTTAACACGTTGATTCCGAAGTGGTACATTTGCGTATCACGAAATGCATTTCTTCAGGACGTAGTGGTACAGAATTCAGGGCTGCCAGATGGCCTAAAAGACTGCCAAGTCCGCGAACAAAACAGGCCGAAAAAGTACTTTAACTCCATTAAAAGTTCCATTTATGCAGTTTTTTAAATTTAATTAGGAAGTACCCTTATCATAAATTTAAGCCGACAAACGCAATTGAAAGAAAATATAACTCATTACTCACTGCAGTGAGTGACAGCGCATTTTCTCGTCGACGAAAACTTAAGGTCACGGACGGACGGACGGACAGACGAACAGACAGACAGACGGACATGGCGAGCACAATAGTGCATTTTTTCCATAAATGAGAAAATGCGCTATAAATTAGATCGCGAAATTTGTCCGGAAAATAACCGCCTAGCAACCTCGTTTCATATAGTACACAAGAGTGAAATAATAGTTCAAGATGAAGCAATCGGAGTTAACGTGTTAAAGGAAACCTTGATTATAAGGGTAACTAAGGTTTTGAAGGCAAACTCAGACATTTAATTAGGACTGAGATCTCAAAGGAAAATATTATTTTTAAGAGAAATTATGATACATTAAACGGTATCTTGCATTTATTTTTTTTGTGAAAATCGTTATTTGTTAGTAGCTGTGTGTTTTTTTGTATTTTATTTGATATTAACCAGTGGGAAAAAGCATACTCAAAATCAGATGTTGAATGGAGTCTGTATTAATAGTTTTTAAGGTCCTGGTTGGCACTGTTCATTTCAACGAAGATGACACTGAGAAAAATGAAGAGATAATGATGTCCAAATAGTGACACACTTACTGCACGTTGCACTTATACCCCATGTGGTCGGGCCAACCACTATCATTATGTCAAGATGACCAACAAAATGGAAAACGTAACCGTTATTTAGACAATTTCTGGCTCATTTCAGTGAGTATAACGCTCCCTCACCGTTATTTAGACAATGTCTGACTCATTTCACTGAGTATAACGCTCCCTCACCGTTATTTAAACAATGTCTGACTCATTTCAGTGAGTATAACGCTCCCTCACTGTTATTTAGACAATGTCTGACTCATTTCACTGAGTATAACGCTCCCTCACCGTTATTTAGACAATGTCTGACTCATTTCAGTGAGTATAACGCTCCCTCACTGTTATTTAGACAATGTCTGACTCATTTCAGTAAGTATNGGTGATTAGTTGCTGCCGGTGCTGCAGCGCACACGACCAGACATCCACCGCCCGTTTAAGGTGATTAGTTGCTGCCGGTGCTGCAGCGCACACGACCAGACATCCACCGCCCGTTTAAGGTGATTAGTTGCTGCCGGTGCTGCAGCGCACACGACCAGACATCCACCGCCCGTTTAAGGTGATTAGTTGCTGCCGGTGCTGCAGCGCACACGACCAGACATCCACCGCCCGTTTAAGGTGATTAGTTGCTGCCGGTGCTGCAGCGCACACGACCAGACATCCACCGCCCGTTTAAGGTGATTAGTTGCTGCCGGTGCTGCAGCGCACACGACCAGACATCCACCGCCCGTTTAAGGTGATTAGTTGCTGCCGGTGCTGCAGCGCACACGACCAGACATCCACCGCCCGTTTAAGGTGATTAGTTGCTGCCGGTGCTGCAGCGCACACGACCAGACATCCACCGCCCGTTTAAGGTGATTAGTTGCTGCTGGTGCTGTAGAGCACACGTCCAGGCATCCACCGCCCGTTTAAAGTGATTAGTTGCTGGTGTTGCTGCCGCGCTCCGGGAGAGACGTGCAAAGGCCATTGGGGGTGACTATTTATTTGCTCATGTTACGGTGAACCGCTTGATCCCAAAATTCAGTCGCATGGCGTACGAATTAACGATTAAAAGGGGATTCAGTAAAATCTTTTTTAAAGTTGATCAATTTCTTGATAGGCTTTTGAAGTAAAATATAGTTTTCGAAAGAATACTGCGAATATGTTTGTTCTACTATTCAACAAAGTTACTACCGTTGTAGACAAGGTAAGAACATATTTATGAAGGCTTCAAATATTGATGTATAGTAGCCAAAACGAATCTGACGTCCGCGCGATGTTCCGGATTGTGCCGTAAGTGAAGAAAAGGTGCTCATAGTATTGTCATCTGTTCCACGCCACCTGATGAGGGTGACGCTGGTGATCAAGTACTAGGTAAGACGAGGGTGATCAATTACTAGGTACTTGATCATCTGATATTTGAAGTAAGACTAATACCGAAGTCTTTTGTATCCTGACCTTGAATGTTACTTGAGAATATTCGAATCTGTACTGATTTATGGATTTTAGGTTACAGGAAATCTTATCAAGTTATATCATGTGTTTTTAGGAACGAAACAGTTGTAGAATCCGTCAATAATTAGTTTTATCTTTCACGCAGAGATACCCCCCATTTTTGAACTTTTACTTTCACATACATGCGGTTGTTCCCAGCGTCAAGGTGTACCGTCGTCTTTATTCCCCTGTTGCGTTCAATCAGGAAAATTATAAAGAACTTGATAGGTTATTTTGGATAGCTTATAGTCTCGTATTACGCCCAGCTAATACTGGCTCTCGCAACACCGTAAAATCCACTTTATCTTCGAAACTTCAACGTCTAAGCAACGCGCTTCTTTAACTCGAACGAGATTTAGTGGGTGATTTAACGTAATTGCACGGCGAAATGGCTCGAAATTGCTCATTCTGATTTAAGAACGTTAGTATGAAGACCTTGTTTGATGTTTAAATGATGTAATCCCGTGAAAATCTGAACTTTAGTTTTATTTCATCCCTTAATATTCGAAAACTGATGATGTACCAATTTCCAATATTCAATTTGAGTCGTTCTCTCTAGCCGGGTATTGGTCGATATTCGACACGAAATTATCTCAATGTCTGTAAAAATTATAAGGTTAACAGTTATAAAGGTAATAATAACGGTGACACAAGCAATGTATTTATGGCCCGAAGTAGATTCCACTCTATGTACATTGCGGCCTGATATCACCTTGTAATCTACGTTCTAACTAAGAACGTAGATTACATTATACGTGTCTACGTTCTTTCGTGTCTACGTTCTTTCGTGTCTACGTTCTAACTATGAACGTAGATTACGGAGCTAAGAAGGATACAGTGTTCGGTCTAAATTTTTCTGTACCCTTATCCATCTATAATGTCAACTGGCAGGTGCCGATCGTGATCCCAGTGATCGTGCTGGTCGTGTCGATCTACCTGGTGATCGGTCCCATCATCGACAACCCTCAGGTCGAGTACCTGTACGCCTCCTGCTTCATCCTGGCAGGAGTTGCCTTCTACGGCCCATTCGTGCACATGCGCTACGTGCTCCCCGGCATGGGTAAACAATGGACAGGGCTGCGCTACGTGCTCCCCGGCATGTATAAACAATGAGCAGGGCTGCGCTACGTGCTCCCCGGCATGGGTAAACAATGAGCAGGGTTGCGCTACGCGCTCCCCGGCATGGGTAAACAATGAGCAGGGCTGCGCTACGTGCTCCCTGGCTTGGGTAAACAATGAGCAGGGCTGCGCTACGTGCTCCCTGGCTTGGGTAAACAATGAGCAGAGTTGCGCTACGTGCTCCCCGGCATAGGTAAACAATGAGCAGGGTTGCGCTACGCGCTCCCCAACATGAGTAAAATGTGGGCAAGATTGAGGTACGTTTTCCCCGGCATGGATAAAAAGTGGGCAGAGTTGAGTTACGTGCACCCCAACATGGGTATAAAGGGGACAGATTTGTGTTACGTGCTTCTTAAACAAGTGAAAACAATTGACAAGGCTTTCCGGCATGGGTAAAAAGTGGACATGCAAAGTAATGATTGGGAATTGGGAAATAAATGCAATGTTAGCCGAATAAATGTTGGCACGTATTTCTTGGAAGCAGCATGTGCCAACGAAGTGCACGCAGAGACACCACGAGTGCGACTGCGACATGATATTTTTGTGATACATATGAAAAATATTGAATTAGTTTAATACATTTTAATTTAAGCATTCAAGCTCGTACGACGGGCAAAAATTATTTCTCGTCTTGGCTTATCGTGTCACGTGGGAGAAGAGCTCATTCGTGGTCATGCGTCTAGTTCATTCTAATGTCGTCTAATGTCGGTTACAATATTTTGAAAACCGTACTCTTTTTATCCCCAGGCACTGTGACAACCTTCCTACAAATGATGCTACTGGTGGTACCAACTGATAAACCTGACCGTTGAGATAACTAGGTAATGTACCCTATAAATACTCGGCACTTTTAGATAGAATCTGCTCGTGTGAAACCTGAGCCTGGCTAGTGAGCACCTCATTCAGACCAACTGATTTTCTGGTTTCCTAAACTATTTGAAATACCCAATGGTTTAATCAAACGTAACATCTAAGTAATTTTTGCAAAACAGCGTTTTCAACACAATTCCTCCGCTGTTCTAGACTTTTGCCGATTGAAGTGGCATTATAGGCTAAACTGTTCTCTGCGAAACTGCAGGCAGAAAGAATACTAGCGTCGTGAAACAATATATGAAATCAAAGATATTTCTGATTGCATGATAAAATTATTCTTCACGGTTTCAGACTCAAAACACAGAAATGAATCCTAAAAGACCATGGTCAGCGGGTGAATACAGCGAGTGGCCGATTCGCAGCAAATTTACCCCTAAGGCCATTGTGACGAGCCTTTTTCGACCATTGACGGAGTATAAATGCAAACTGGATCTTGACAATTTTTATATAAGGAATTGGTATAATAAAAAGAATTGGTATAAATAATGAAAAAAATTAAGTACTACATGATTTTATTAATTGCAAAGTTATGTACCGTGGTCTGCGGGCTTATCGCGAGTCCATCGCACAGAACTTACCCTTTCCTCATAATAGGCGCTTGCTTCTCATTTCACGACCATCCATTAAAATACTGTCGAGGGTGACGAACGGCAAATTACCAGAATTACCATTCAGCTTCAATTTCCCAGAACATTAAGATCACTGCGAATAAAATGGGTTTTGCGTATGAAGCTAACTTGACCCATGTAGACTCGTACGTACTACTTTTAATCAAAGTAAATAGTTCTGGCAGCAGTCTCCTGCGTTACTCAGAGTTAAAACATTTGTAGAAAAAAACGACATGGCATGCTGGGATGCTCTCGGAATGCAAATGTGTTATGAAACGTGTTGTGTCACTGAGTAGCTTAAGGATGCAAATAAATAGCTGAGGATCACGGTCCTAGCTTAGATAGCAAAAATTTTGAAGATGCTCTTACCTTCATGCAGACGTCATTAGCTTTGAATTTACTGAGTTACTCTATAGAAATTTACCTCAGGCACTTTGCAGTTTACCAAAAAATAGGACGATAACTTTTCAGGTGCGGAAGCGCATTGTCTGCAGAAGGCCTGGCACTCTTATAGAGGGGACCAGCTGGATCAATCGGAGAAATGTAGTACCAACAGTAGGAGGACGTCGGCCTGACAGTCGAAATTGATTGTTGTGTAATGTGTACCAACCGTGTACTTGTTTCTATATAATGACTTTGTTTGTACCTACCACTCGTATTAAGATAATTTAAAGATAGAATTTGCCTTTATTTATCCCTCACATTAGTCGTCTGATTCCTGCGAACTCAGGGGGATCGTATATATACGAGACGGGAATCAATTATACGGGAATCAATTATACGGGAATACGGGATTCTCAAATTATACGGAATTAATTCCTTTATTTCGCAATATAAGTGATGAATTTGGATCCGTAACGTAGTGCAAATCTAATAAAATGTCATTTGAAAACCGTATTTTTTAATGACCTAAGCAAACCAGTTTGAGTATTTGACAGAAGCACAGAGAAAATCTAGACGAATAATTATTCCATAGACTTCAGCAATATTTACGTTTGAATACATATCCGGAGGATACTGCATCTATGCGACATATTTATGGTACAAACCGGCGAAGTGTTACTAGAATGTTTCTTTATAAATTTCTTATGATAGGAGCCCACCGATGGTTCATCGAAGTGCCATCGAAAATGGAAATTAGATTTTACTGACTATTTTACCGGCAGAGTCGTCGGCAAGTTGTAAGTGAGGCATTGATCAGACACGATATCTATGCTACATCGATGAGATGTCGTATCGTGAGCCAATCGTTCCCTTAATATTATCGGTGATCCACCAATATGTTTTATTTGGATGCCGACGAATACTTAGAGCTCGCAGAGAAATGAGTGAGACTTTGCCCCAACTGTGATGCCATTTCACCCTCGTATGGGTCATCTTGAGCCGGTTTGGCATGGCGTGCATTAGGTCTGTCACTATTTGGATAATGAGACACATTCTCTTGAGTGCAAATTGTTTGTACCGTGATAACGATACAAGGGCACGTCATTGGTCGCCAAAATTCTACGAACCACCGGCACGCCCAAAATTCGACGAACCAGCGGCACGCCATTTACATTTTGTATATGAATACTGGTTTTGAGGTATTCCTATTCAAAAAATCTACCAAAACGAACAAACTCCCTTGGCATAGCTTTTTGATCAGAATTGCCCCACGGTCAAGGAAAGATTGATTAGAAAATTTCTTCCTGCACTTTTGTGAAATCCATTTTAGTGCACAATTTAGCTTTTGTTCGTCCCGCTGGAGGGGGTTCTGTTCGGGCCTAGTCCGCATGAGCTGCCAGGGGAAGAGCAGACACCGTGAGGGCAGGGTGAGTCACGTCTATCTCTATAAGTTCTTGACTGACGCTTGTTTGCAGTCAGAGAAATGACTGAGATTTTGTACAAACAGTGATGCACTTTTTTACATATCGTGGGTAATCCTTACCTTGTTTGGACTGGCAGAATGCCGTGCTGCGTCCGCTCGCTGCTAGTGAACTGGGTACAAGAACACATCACTATTTGAATAATATTACCCATTTTTCCTCTGAGCATTGACAAAATCATACGTGAAAACCATCATAATAATTTCTCAATTTCTTCATCTACATATTGTTGATTATTTTGTGCATGCATAGAATATAACTCATTCTAATAACTCTCGATCATAACAATAAAATTTGCACTCGCTCAACCCCAGGCAATTTTTCCTAAGACTGTTTATGTCCGGTGGAAAAGCCGATTTTTTTATATATATTCTATAGTTGAGGACCACATATTAAAGGTCTCATTTTTGTAAGTATTATGAATAATTACATACAATCGTGCCTCAAAGATAATGATCAAATTCAAAGGTTCAAACATTCTTATTTTAGACTAGTACCCAGTCAATCAGGTCTTGATGAAGATTAGGGCGGATCGATGAAGAAATTAATGCAGATTCTTGCTCGATCGACATGGGCAAACCTCCATTTGGAGTGGGCAACGGAGAGGGCAATGTCGCGGGGCGCAACGACGATTATTGAGGAATTTTCTATGCAGATTCGGCGAAGATCGTCGAAGTTTCTGCACCTGATAACTTGTTGAATCGAATAATCTGCACCGATCGATGTCGAATCTACACTAGCTGAAGTCGAATCCGCATTAATCGATGTCGAATCATCATTGATCTACGCCGAATCTACATTAATCGATGTCTAATCCATAAAATTTTTTTTCTCTCTCTCTCTCTCCGAGATCATCGAATCGTTACCGTTCACTATGACATGTCAGATTTTATGGTCTTTGCTGTCGAACATTTGCATCGTATATATCAATTACAATCTCACAAATTCAATTACTAATGATATAGAGAAGTTACAAGTAATTCACAGCTAAGTTCTCTTACCGGATAAACGTCGACTGCAGCTCCGAGATTCGAACGCGGGAAATTCGCGTTTAAGTTTATGCCTCAGCCCACTTGACCACCAAGACACCTTACCACAGCGAGCTCTATCAACTACATACTGTAACTACGAAACGAATGGCTTGCAATCATCAGGTAAATAGAGGAATAGCCACATTTGTGGTGGAACTGTTTAAAGATTATTCATTTATATATATTTTACAGGAATGAACGCAGTTTCTATTCAATCGATAAAATAATATTACTCGTATTGTAAAGGAGACAAGCACAATTTTTCTTGCCACTTTTTATTATTTTCGGGCAATCGAAATGCCGTTACTTCTATATTTCTTAAATTTATTTCCAAGTAAATTCTCTAGTTTATATAAATTTTCTATTGGAGCTGATTAATTTACATCAAAATTTATTTCTCAATTATTTATTCCCTCAAATCAGCCTCGTTGAAAAACTGATGCAAATTTGTCATGATTAATAGAAAACGCTAGAGCAGCTGTAAGAAAATGTTTTGAATATGAACTTTGAAGAAGTTTATGATGGGATCTTTTTAATTAAAAATATTGTTAAGGTTTGAAGCAGTTTATTTATACGACTGTTAGTCGATAGCAGGAGATTTATATCATGCATGTAAAAAACGTTTTCTTTACACTCACGTTAGAAAAAATTTTTAAGGCAAACTAATCTGTATCTTCTGAATATTATTAAGGTCAAGGTAACATTAAGGCTTAAACGTTCCTCTTTGCGGAAGCGTTCAAACTTGGAAAGCTAGTAAAACACTTACGTATTTCAAAGTATTAAAATAATTACGTGGTATAATAGTCGTAACTGACATCAGAAATCTACCCGAAATAGCGCATTCTATTTATTGAACTATCTTGAACGCAAGTTTGAATACAATTTTAACTGGGTAATCATAAATTAAAGTGCATATCAATTTCCGATCAATTATTCTATTAGATTGAATAGCCAACCGACATGTTTTCGCATGAATTTTTCGGTTTGCTCTGTAAAGTTGCCCACACTCAGATACTTCGATCTACACCGATAAACCCACAGTCGATAGTTCGCCATGCATCTGCATAGATTATTCAAGGAAATTCGACTTCTAAATCTTCGAGTGGTCGGATCACCCGTGATATGCAGTAACCCACACTAATCGACATCGTTGCCCACATTGGTGATTGACTGGGTAGTGAATGAATGAAGCAGGATTTGCAATCTTGATAGGATAGGTATTCTTGGAGCCGGGACTGAGGAAAAGCACAGTCATAGCAAAATAAGGCTGTAACCGCATCAATGTACAGCGGCAACAGGTAATTTGGAGGGTCTGCGTCGCCACCAGCTACGAACCAGGTTGTTTCATACTGTAAAGAATATATAAATTGAATAAATTGACAATATAAATAACAGTAAATGCAATAAATCAGAGTACTAAATTCAATTGAGGTAAAGTGAATAAATAACATTTACCTGAGATTTAATTGCCTTAGTGTGCTATAACGCACTTTCAGGAAGAATTGAATTTAAAGAAAAAAGAAGAAATCAGTTGAATATGGACGCTTCAGACGGAAGTAAAGTAAGAATAGTTGGAGATTGATTCGCTTGAAGTAAGGTCAAAGTTTGAAGGATTTGGCGTGAACTCTTGAATAGAGCATTAGTTAGAGCCGCATCCACTTGAATTTGAATAATTGAGGTTTTTAAATTTATAATAAATTGAATTGAACTGAAGTCTGAAGCGTCGCACACGATAATTAAGCAGAGATTTGAGCGAAATTAACAAAACGAAAGAAAATCGAGCACTCAAACCAAGGAATAGATAAATCACAGAACATAAATGTCTGCCGCTTGGTGTCTAAGCTTCCTTGCGGGATAGACACCAAGCGGCAGACATTTGGCAATTTTATGATCTACTAGCCGCTAGTACTATCCCCGTGTACAAGCACCTTTAAGGGAGAAATTTAGAGTTAGGGTTGAATGTTGGTGCTGTAGCGGCGGCGAACATCAGGTTGTCTGGAGATCACAGATTTAAGTCTTTCAACTGCGGTGTATCAGTGCGTACTAACTGATTTCGGAAAACCGGGTCTAACCTAAATTACCCTAACATTAAACTTACCCTAGACTAATCTTAATATTAACCAAACGTAAATTATAACTAAATTCAGTTTAAAGAATAGAAATATAATGAACGGTGGGAAATTTCCCACAGTATACACGTTAACTTATAGTCTACGTTTATCTAATTTTCCCACGATTAATGACCAGTTTCCATTCTTCATGTACTTCCCGGAACTGAGATCGTCTTGAGACGCGATGACGGGGCACGGGATTATATGGGATTTGAGTTTATCAAAGCTCAAGCAACTCCAGGATGAGCTATCAATAGCATAATAATTTAAATGATTGCACTGCTGACAAAAATGGAATAATATTGAAGCAGGGTGCAATCCTACTATAAGTACACAACGTATACTGGTAGAGTTGTACATTCAGTAGACGTACACAGCGTAGAGTCTTAGAGTGGTACAGTCATGAAACGACTCACTGCAGACGACATAAATAGTTCGGTCTCTGCAATAGATAATATAGACGGGTCTCTGCAATATCTACGTAAAACATCGAAGCGGTGCGGCAATTCATTTTCAGGTCTCCTGTACGATCTGCTTGCAAGCACGCATCAGCTCCTGGGTTATCAGCTCGTTCTGTTAGGCGGATCCTTCATGAGGTAGTGAAGTTCCATGCCTAAAATAATGTTGTCGCCCAGGAAATGATTCTTCGTTTCTTCGTGCCTTCGA